AATTAATTGAGGTTATGCGGCGGTTAAAATCTGTGAACAGCAATGACGTGATGGTGACAAACAAGAGATGCTACAACTTTTGACAAAAGAGCAGCTTTTTAAAACTTTTTTTATACTAACTACTGTTGTCTTAAAAAAAGAAAAAGGCAGAAGTTTATTGGGGGAAACAGTTTTGTGCACAATGGATGTCTGGAGAGATCATGTGACGGCCGTTCCTGAGTGACATGCATTCAGAAGTCAGAACAGACCTGCTGCCACAGGTCCTGAATTATTATTATTTTTCTTGTTATTTCAGAGATGAGAAGGTAAGTTCTCTCCTTCTTCTCCTCTGGCTAAATTTTCTCCAAAGCGACCTGCCATCACAGCGCAGTGACAAAAGTCAGATGCATGATGCCATGGGCACAGTCTGGGTCTGTGATGGCTGGCTTCCCAAGATGATGTGGTTGAAACTGGGCTCCTGGAGATGGAAGAGAGGTGGTGCGAAGGTCTAATCAGCAAAAGGTGATAAAAACAAGGCTTTTTTATGCAGCAGCTTGAGGGGACACTGGGCACAGACCTTTCTCACATGAAAACTCCCCTTTAATTGAGTAATTTACTTTTGTTGATCAGCACTATAGTATTTGAAGTTTTGCCCAAAGAGAAATCTGCATCTGAGAACAAAATTTGAAAATGTACAAAGAGAAGGTTCACTTTGTAAAATACAATAATTTATGTGTTTTGGAGGAAACAAAGTGGGAAAGTATAGGTTGTATCCAAAACATTCACAAATTAACTCTTATGGTCTACCTCATTATCTAAAGAAAGTCATATTCCAAAATATATGTATTTATATTTATCATTAAAAAAAATCTCTAAGACTCAGATCACAACTGTTAAAAAAATACTACTCACAGAGCAGGCAAACGTTATTTAACTATGTTAAAAATGTGTTCAAATGGTCTGAAGCAGGCTCCGATGAAGCGATCTATTGCTCAGTTAAAAAGTTTATGTATTTACACATAGCCTATGTAAAATATTTTGCACATAAATCAATAGAGCACTGGGTCATTCCAGCGTACAAGGCTGTGTCTCAAAAAGGCACCGAAGCTTCGCTAACAACAACTTTTCTTCAAGCTGGCCACACCTTCACAAAGTGGTTGCCATCAACAACTTATGGGGAATTCTATTCTCACTGCAAGACCAGCTTTTAGACAAAAAAAAAAAAAACCTTGTTCAAATATGTTTAAATACCGGGGGTTTTACCTGCTGAGAAATGCAGGCATGTAACAAAGAATTCCTTCCTACCAGAAACAACCTCATTGGAACAGAAACTCTCCCTTGTTGCTTCCAACACATAAAATTATCGTATAAAAATGCCAAATAAAAGCAAAAAGAAAACAAATAATCACTCATCCAGTAAGCTGATATATAGTAAGATAAAAATATAATTAATCCCCTTTTAGACAAGATTTTATTATGTCAGTAAAAACCTAAATGTGAGAAACGGTGTCATTGCATCAAAGTTCATGCTCAACAATCCAGGTAAAACACCGTCCAGAGGACCTGACGTAGGTGTCCTACATCTGCAAACACATGAAAAAGATAAACATTTCCACCCTGTATCATTAGCAAACATCGCAGGCCTAAATTATTCTTCTCAGAAAAAAATAACCGATTGTTCCCAAGTGTAAAAAAAAATGTATCAATGAACATTAATACTAGTGAATAGAAAAATAACAAGATAATAAAAATAGCAATATACTGAAATATAATGTACTATCAGAGCTATACTTTTAAGAAATATATAGTTAAAAATCAAACGAACTTTCTCTCCTATAAATCTCACACCTCTAAATTTATATGTACTGTAGGTATAGCTTAACCTTAGCGTCTGGTGTAAGTGTTGCGATATATGAGGTGTACATTGATTAATTATAAGTTATGATCATAAATATATACATAACTTTGGGGCATCACCTCAGGAGGGGAAAATAATCAGTCTCTATTTTTATTTATTTATTTCATTTACCCTTTATTTATCCACAAGAACTCATTTTCAAGAGAGACCTGTTTAGGAGCAGATGGTGGGGGTTAAGGACCTTGCTCAGGGGCTCAGGGTGGGGCAAATGAGGGTGGAGGCAGGTGTGGGTGCTTCACCTTTTTCACCCACACTTTGATGTTGAAGGTACTGGGAGTTGAACCTGCAACTTTCCAATCACAGGCCCATCTGCTCTAACCTCTGCGCCACCACTCCCCATAAAGAAAAGCATTGAAAAGACTTTGTCCTACCAGTTCCTACGTTGAGTCCAGGGCAGGTGCGTTGACCATCAGAGTTACTTGGAGGTTGAGGCTTTCGCTAAGTGGACCTGAAGGTGTTTAGGAAAGGCAGAATATCCACAAATGCTGCTGCCAGAGTCTTAACTGGAGTTAGTGGGAAAGATCATATCTCTCCAGTTTTAGCTTCTCTCCAGTGGCTCCCTGTCAAATCCAGAATAGAATTTAAAATCTTACTTCTAACCTACAAAGTACAAAGCTCTCAACAACCTAGCTCCATCTTATATTACAGATCTTATTGTTCCATATTTTCCTAACAGAGCACTTTGCTCTCAGACTGCAGGTTTACTTGTGGTTCCTAGAGTTTACAGCAGCAGAATGGGAGGAAGATCTTTCAGTTCTCAGGCTCCTCTCTTGTGGAACCAACTTCCAGTTTCTGTCCATGAGACTGACACATTGTCCAGTTTGAAGACTGGACTTAAGATTTTCCTTTTTGATAAATCCTATAGTTAGGGTTGACTTGTTATGCTGCTATAGACTTAGACTACTAGAGGACAAACTGACCTCATTTCCTTAAATGAATTGTTAAAATTGAATAGTTTTCATTTGATACTATTTCTATCTTATGTGATAGAATTGTGTATTTCAGCTGAGACGGTCACCTTAGTTCAAAAGATTTATTTGACAAACAGGAGTTACAGGTATTCAGAGACAAACAATTACATTTGTAAAATATATGCATATATTTGGAGCATTAAAGCACGAACCGTCTCGGTCTGCGCTTCCCCGGAAATGCTCGCTGGGCGTGTGTTATTTTCGGCTTTTATCAAAGTTTGAGAAGGCTAGCTTTCTGATTGGTTTAGACCCGATGTTACTATGGATACGGTGCTCCACTGCTCTGCCAAGGACATTAATGTCCACATTCCATAGATAAGGATTTTTATGGCTCACTGAAATTGGTTCTTTGTTTTAGCTCTGTTTCAGTTTAACTTGATTATACCTTATTGATACCAAATGATTTGAGTTAAAGTTGTTTCTTTCTAGGAATAATTAATAACTATTAATTATTAACTAACTCATGTTTATGTGTTCTTAATTGATCCCTCTGGCTTATACTTGTGTTTCAGTTCAGTTGAAGTCACCCTGCCCCCACATCTAGTAAAACTCTCTTGTAACTTACTGTGAAGATTAAACCTGTGTCCTCTCATCTAAACTGAACCTGTATCAAACAATTGGTTAAACGATTAAATGCTAATTGTAATTATCATACGGACCTGAGGGATTTTACTTAGTCAAACTATATTAAGTCTAAATTAAGGAAATGTGTTCTAGGTTTATTTATGTTAATCAGTCAGTGTGTGTGAGCGGCCAGGCCACCATGTGCTCAGAGCACAAAGAAGGACTCTTCCCTGGAGTTAGTCAGTATCTTTCCTGCTTGTAATCTATCAAATGTGAACTTGTAAAATTATCATTAGCTAATATAAGATTATATGTAAAGGTAAAATAGTTAGAATTAGTAAACATTTTCTATAAATATAGTTCAACCCTTGAAGAAAGGCACGCACAGACTTTGTATAACATGACATTTGAATGCTTGATAGGAAATATAAAAAGGTATAAAAATATGAAATCCAACAGTACCAAGAGCTTCAGCACCCTAGAAGATGCTGATCGCTTTCTGCTCAGCTACCGGGCCACTGAGGAGGGCTGATATCTATGCACCTGTCTGTTTGGTGTGTGTCGTTTAGGTGATAATGGAACAATTTGACTAACATGACTCCACCTGGTGGCAGCACAGAAATGTTGTTGGTGTTGGGTTATGGGTTGTTATTCAACCAACATACACAATTTTTCTTTAGTTCTTACACCAACACCAGGATTTTCTTTGAGCTTGGTCATTGAAATGTTTTTTCCCCCTTTGTCCTGTCCGGCATTGTGACACTCGGAATTATTGTCTGAGTGTCAAAGTGATGCCCGACAGATTGACTTCCACAAGCAGAGCATCATGGCAGGCCTTAATGCTCCGCTTGATATATAAATAAAACTTTATTAGAATTTGCTATGGGCTTGTTTCAGATGTAATGGACATGGGGATGAAAAACAAAGAAGACAAAGCAGAAAAGTGAGAGAAGGGTTAAAATGTAAAGAAGGAGATAGGAATAGAGGAGAGAGAGGGATAAAGAGAACACAAATTAACATCATTGAAGTCTGACTCTAGACCTGCGGAAAGAGAAAAGACAAAACCGAGTTTTGGTCATTGAAATGTTGAAATAATAATGTTTGTGGTTAGTTATCAGAAGGGACACTATACATTTTTGTAAATTGGATAACTATAGCGATATTACAGGTTAGGTTTAAATAGTATATGACTCCTGAGGACAGCATGTTAGGATTGTTTCCCTTGCTTTGTTTGGGAACATGGGAGATTGGGGTGGGTAAATGTAGGTTCACTTTATGTGTTTTTTTTATTTAATCTTATTCATTTTTTTCACAATTCATTGTGTCGCTGTCCACATAATTCAATTTTCAAATATTTATGACAACTAGATGTAAGGATGAGGGCGTCAATTTGGTCAGTTGGAATATCAGCGGCCTAAAAAACTCAATGAAATGTGCTAAGGTTTTCACAACCTTAAATCTTTGGAGGCTGACGTGCTGTTCATTTGAGAGACTTGTGTTATTTATTAAATATAAATTATGGTTTTACTAATATCAGCTCAGACAGACAAGAACAAAAACATTTCAGGACGTTCATTTATTCATGGTATTTATCTGAATCAGACTTCAGATTTGACCAGTTGTCCTCCAGAAGGAAGTCTTCGAGGCTTGACCTCCTGCTGGAAGTGACATCATCATGTTGTCGGGACAACAAAGACACATTTACGCAGCTTTAGCACAAACAAAAGCATTTTCTTGGCTGCAGACTTCATCGTTGACGTAATCTTGTCCTGTAAACAATAAAAAACAGATTTGAAATATGAGCTATTGGAATTAGACTTCCCCTGAGTTTTCTTTAATGTGAAATTAATAATTAAAAACAAACTGTTAACAATGTAGGAACACCATGTTTTGTCTTCAATACAGAACCAAACTGGTGTCATAAAGAACGACCAGATAAAATCCTGTAATATATTTCAGATAAAGTGACCCACAAATTAAACGTAATTCTGTTGTTCACAGTGGAAACATGTGTTTAAAGATCAGTTATCATCTTGTGTACCATTCCAATTCATATCCACGCAGTTCTCGTGTCCACCTGCGTTGTTTGGTTCCCCTGGGCCCCAATGAGTGTAGGAGAAGTCGGAGCCATCGGTCCAAGTCCAGTCACCGTTCTGTGAGAGGAAGTGTTCAAACATCAGCTCTTTGGTTCCAAGCAGATTTTGAAAAGATTTACTGAAAACTCTTTCCACTAGTTCGATTGATACACAAGATCCTCACTTGGTCCTTGGTGCCTCCAACCCAAGATTTTGTGTTGGTTCCAGAAGCTCTCTCAATGAGTCTCCTGATGAAGTAGTACTCATCTCCATCATGAAAGGAGGCCAGATCTCCACCATGGTCACTGCAGTATTGCTGTGTGGAAAGATGGCAGCATAAACAATCATCACATCTTCATCATCGTGATGGACTAGTAGAGGAGACAACTAACATGGCAGTAACAACCTCTCTGTGAAGTCTCTGATTAGTCATCAGTTTATAGAACGATCAGGTCGACAACTGATTCAAAGTAAAAATGTCACATCAAGGAACGTCCATGACCCATGAACAGGTTCCTGCCTTAGATCATGGACAGGGGTCTAAGACAGAGTTACGTAAAATTACAGTTGGGTGCAACATAACAAACACTCTGTTTTGCACAAGAATATCATAACCAAGAACAAGATATTAAGTATTTTTAAGATTTAACTTTAGATTAAGAAACATCTAGTAAAAATGATCATTGAAGGAACAGCTGTTCTTGTTTCTGTATTTCTGCTTCTCATTTGAGGAACTTTCTGAGTTCAAACCTGTCATGATGCAGAGTTTTAACTTCAAAACAGTAAATGGACTGTACTTATATAGCATCTTTCTATCGAATCAATCGAACCACGTGCTGTTTCTCATTTACCTCCACACACACACATTCATACATCGCTCTACTAAACCTACTAATCTGAATCTAAAGAGACTAACCAGAGCTTTAGATCATTCATAAACTGACGGGACACACATCAGAGGTAATGAGGGGTTCAGTGTCTTGCCACGGACACTTCAGCATGTGACTGCTGCTGGAATTAAACCCTCAACTCTCCCATTGGAGGATGACTGCTCTAACCACTCAGCCACAGCCGCCCCCAACACTGAATCTAGACCAGGGTTCTGCAACCTTTACAGTCAAAAGAGCCATTTTACGTATTTGTTCACTAAATTAAGTGTTCAGAGTCACAACATCATACAACTGCTATTTTCAACCGGGGGCCACGTTAGGTTCGTTGAAGGATCTTTTGTGGCAACTATAGGTGTGACATTATAAAGCTAAAAATGTATATTTTTAATTATTAAGATAAATTGAAAGACCAGGTTCTTGTAGGGGGTGGGGTTGGGGGGATTTTTTAAAATTAATAAAACCTATGAACTATGCAGACCTATGTATTTTTTTTAAGCGTGGAAAAATTAATTAAGCATAGAAATAAAGCATAAAGTTAAAGTGAGCAAGTTTTACTCCTTGTACTTGTTCCAGTATTCACATACAGGTATTTGCAAAAGCAATGACAGGAAATCTGCTAAAACCAGTCCAGTTTGTTGTTTGTATAACAACCAGTACCATTCAGTTTTATCTTAGTTTTGGTCAAAGCTTGAAAGAGCCACTGCAGAGGGACCAAAGAGTTGTAGACCCCTGAAATAGCTGCCACGATGGCCACACTCAGAGCAGATGCAGCTTCACAGGCTCCCCGGTACCATCCCAATTTTTAGAAGTTTTGATATTGACTCTGTGCCTGACTCTGCGCGATTTATGCGTGTGAACTATAGCCGAACCAAATTAATGAGAATAGGAGCGGATTTGTCACGAAATATAGTAGAAATCAGCAACAAACTTAAAACTACGCTCAGCAGAATGCAGATCTTAAAGTCATCTACCTGGAAGCTGCGGCAGAGAAGTTCCAACGGGCAGAAGATGAAGCGCTGCTTCCAGCTTAAGAGGAGAGGATGCCGGGCCGGGGTTCTGGTGAGGCTACGAGCTTACGCTAAAGCCGGAAAACTCCCGATGCCGTCTCTCTTTCTGTTGAACGTCTGCTCGTTGGACAACAAGATGGATTTGCTTTGTCTGAGAGCGGGTGCCTAAGAAGAGATGATGAAGTGTGCGGTGCTTTGCCTCACGGAAACATGGATTACAAGTGAAACGCCGGATACAGTCTTCCAGCTGGATGACAGACTTTTTTTTCCGAGCGGACCGCTGCAGCGAGCTAATGGGGAAATCACGGGGAGGCGGAATGTGCATTTACATGAGTAAAAGTTGGTGCACGAACTGTACTGTTATAAAAAGCTCATGCTCGAAGGTGTTGGAGCAAATAACAGTGAAATGTCAGCCTCATTATCTACCCCGCGAGTTCACAGTGACTTTCATTATGGTTGTTGTTTTTTCATCAACGCGACAAGGTCCTGGAGAACCGGCGTGTCCAGCTGAGACTCACTCTGTGGGGTACGTCATGGATTCGTGGGGAGTGTGGCAGATGATGTGTCTCTCAGTTTTGTCTCAGGAGGATGTTGAAGATGTTTACATATTTGGATTTATGATAGCAGGGACTCTGCTTTTTGGCATCGGCGGGGCTCTGTTTTATCGACTTTTGAAGAAGACGGCAGCAGCAGTTTCAGCCATGGTAAAGCTTCTGAGTCAGTGTGAAGGTCTGGTCCTCACTGTGGGAACTTTGAATCGTCTGGTTTATGAGCTTAACCATAAGGTGGAGGCGATTGAGAATCACAGGCCACCTGCGGCTTCTGGGACTTGTCAGTGTGGTGGGTTCGACCTTGAAGGAGACTCATAGCATGGATCAGTGGAATGGAATCCCACAATTAGGCAATTTTGCAACCAGAACGCCCAGATGGACTCAAGGCTGAAGAAGAAAAAACTCTGTCTGCCTGAAGAAAAAACAAGAATCAAGCTTATCTAAATCTGACTCCCGACGGCCTCGGAGACAGGCCAACTATCAATTTCTCCTGAGTACCCAAGGACAAAAGCTTCATCTATCGAACCCCCCCCCCCCGAACTTTCTGTGCAAGCTTATTTCGTCCCTGAGTGCCAGACTGCCTCCTTGTGGTGTGACGTTGTACATTCGTGGTGAGAAGTATTGTCATTTCCTGTTTGTCTGTTGGTAGCTCGTGTGAATTGTTTGCTCGAGTCGTCTCTGTTTTCTGGATTTATCTGTCTTTTTCACAGTTTTTCATTCTAGTTCACAAACACACTCAGTACAGTTGTTTTGCTACTGTTGGATAGTGCTTAAAACACCTCTTATCTTTCAACACTTCTCGGTTTTTATTGGTGTATGTAGCTCTGCTAGCTCCTGCTAGCGTTAGCTTAGCATGGCTGCTGCTTCTCTCCCTGCTTCCTGTTCTCTCTTGCTCCGTGTGTCAGATGTTTAGTTCCTCCTCTGCCTCCTTTAGTGGTAATGATGACATGTAACAAATGTAGTCTTATGGTAGCTTTGGAGGAGAGGCTGTCTGAACTGGAAGCTCGGCTCCGCGCTGTAGAAAAACCAGTAGCTAGCCAGGTCCCCTTAGACAGCATGGAACCACAGAGGCTAGCTCCCGTTAGCGGTCCTCCAGCAGACCCCGAGCAGCCGGGACCCCAGGCCAGCTGGGTGACGGTCCGGAGCAAGTGTAGTGCTAAGGCTAAGCCCCCAGTTCACCACCGACCCGTTCACGTTTCTAATAGATTTTCCTCGCTCAGGGACACACCTGCTGAGAAGCAGACCCTGGTTATTGGAAGCTCCATAGTCCCAAACGTGGCTTTAGGGACTCCAGCGGCCATAGTCAAATGCATTCCAGGGGCCAGAGCGGGCGACATAGAATCTTATTTGAAACTTCTGACTAAGGCTAAGGCTAAATATGGTAAGTTTGTTGTTCACGTCGGCGGTAATGACACCCGGCCATTCGGAGGTCACTAAAATTAATGTTGCTTCGGTGTGTGACTTTACTAAAACCATGTCGGACTCCGTAGTTTTCTCCGGCCCCCTCCCCAACCTGACCAGCGATGACATGTTTAGCCGTATGTCGTTGTTTAACCACTGGGTGTCCAGGTGGTGTTCTGACAACGACGTGGGCTACATAGATAACTGGAGTTCTTTCTGGGGAAAACCTGGTCTGATGCGGAGAGATGGCATCCATCCCACTTTGGACGGAGCCGCTCTTCTTTCTAGAAATATGGCTGATTTTGTTTATCCCCCAAATTATTGACAACCCAGGGTCCAGTCCAGGAAGCAGAGTTGTAGTCCTCCACACCTCTCTGCTGCTTCTCCTCTGTTACCCACCCACACCCACATTGAAACAGTGTCAACTCGCCCACGGCTCAAATTAAATAAACCAAAAATCAGCTCTAAAAATATAAACCATAAAAATCTGATTAAAATAAACACAGTTACTTTACCAGAGCAAAATCATCAAATCATTAAATGTGGATTATTGAACATCAGATCTGTTTCCTCTAAATCCCTGTTAGTTAATGAACTGATAACTGATCATCATATTGATTTATTGTGTCTGACAGAAACTTGGCTACAACAGGAGGATTTTGTTGGTATAAATGAATCCACTCCTGTTAATTATTTAAATTTTCATGTTCCTAGAACAACTGGCCGAGGTGGAGCTTCTATTTTTCAGTCAGGATTATTGATTAATGCCAAACCAGTTATTAGTTATGATTCTTTTGAATCGCTGTCCCTCAGTCTTTCTCATCCAAAATGGAAATCAGAAAAGCCACTTTTACTAGTTGTTATATATCGTCCACCAGGAGCTTACTCTCAGTTTTTGTCTGAATTCTCAGAATTATTAACTGACTTATTATTAAATACTGATAAAATCATCATAATGGGTGATTTCAATATTCATGTGGATGTTGAGAGTGATAGTTTAAGCATAACCTTTAATAATTTAATAGACTCATTTGGTTTTACCCAAAACGTCCGCACGTCTACTCATTCTTATCATCACACTCTTGATTTAGTTCTGACCTATGGTGTAGAGATTAAGGACTTGGTAATAGTTCCTCAAAATCCTATTCTGTCCGACCATTTTTTAATAACTTTGAGTTTACATTAAATGACTACACAGTCACTGAGAGTAAATTTCATCTCAGCAGGTGCTTATCAGAAAATGCTGTAACCAAATTGAAACAATCTCTTCCATCAATGTTTTCCTCTGTCTTGCAGAGTAATGCATCAGAGAACAGAGACTTAGATCATCTAGTTGATCATCTTACAACTTCAATGCAAACTTCACTTGATAAAACTGCTCCACTGAAAAAGAAAGTAATCAATCAGAGGAAACTGGCTCCTTGGTTCAATTCTGAGTTACGTACTTTAAAGCAGCATCTAGAAACC